AGCCCTGTGCCAGTTTGTAGCCATATGCTAAGAACTGCCCAGCAAACCTGGCAGTGGTGGTCACAATAGTGAGTTTAAGTGCTTTGCTAAACTCGTAAATATGTAACTGGGGGGGTAGATGAAAAGCACTGAAGTATAAATAATAGCTAATGAAACCAAGCAATATTTCAATGCAAGTTTTACTGTGAATAAACAGAAAAAAACTCACAGGCATTACTTATGCTTCAGAGATCAAATGCATTAAAAAGTGCTGGTGCATCTAAAAGTGGGAACACCAGCAGGCACGCAAGTTCTGGAGGAGGGAAACAATTCTATAACAGAGACCTTCTTTTACTAGTTTCCTATTATATGAATTATGCTATTCCATCAGAACGCTGGATGTAGCACTGTAATTCTCCATCATGCTTGCTTCTGTTAACAAAGCTGATGGAAACTACAATCTCATCTCTCACATCTGATGCATCCTGCTGTTTTTTACCCCCGTATATTAGTGCAACATTCCCCAAAAACCAAGAGGGATCACATTCCTTCTTCTCATCACACTTATTCAACACAAGCTTGCAGGCTGCTGTGTTCTCAGGGGTCTTATACAGAGACTCTCTTGCATCTGGCAGATAGCTGGATTGAGGAAGAAATCTTTGGTCTGAATCCTGCTTTGTCTTTGTAGGGACAGTGCAGGTGTTTGCTTGTGATATGCCATGGGACACAGCCTGTGTGTCCCCTCTTCTTGTTGGCTGTGATAAATGTGGGTCGAAGGAGCAGCCTGTATCCAAGCACCCTGTCGCTGACAGTAGCCCAGCCTATGAGAAGTGACTCCTTAAGCCCCTCGATGGAAGCTCCCTGACTTGTGACAAGTGTGGGTCACCTCTGGGAGTAAACTGTGGTTTGGTTGCCACCCAAGAGCTGGTTTCATAGCACAGGAGGAAATACCTTTTGTTTTGAAGCTGGTCCTCCTCAGGTGCTTCTGGATTTTTAGGTGTGGTTCTCACCTGGGTATTCATCCCTGCCCACGGTGTGTCAAAGACAGACTTTCACCCGGCAATGCCAGTTGGCCCAGACAGTTCCTAGGAGCACAGAGTGTGTTTGCTGCATGTGTGTATTTGTGTTAACATGCCCACACATGGATCTGCACGGCTGCATGTATCACAATGAAGCCTTAAGAAAACAACACCATGCAGAGTGACAGTAAAGCTTCTTCGTAATCAAAACTGTATTTAGAGATCAAGAAAATTTAGTTCTATATTTTAAAAAGAGGGAAAATCAACATTATCTTGTAAAGGACCTACCTGATAACTTCATCCTATACCTGCTTCTTTCTGCTCAGGTGGAGTTGCACGTGCAGAGTCCCTGTGAATTTGCGGCCAGCCAGTGTCCCCACTGAAGGCCACTGCACGGGTACATGAATGTAAGAGAGCTCTCCAATGTGTTAGGAAATTAATAAGTGTTAGTAGATATGTCTTTGTACAGATGTTTATGAAAACTTATTGCTAAGTTGAACATCATGGTAACAAGTTTTTATAGGTCAATTTCAATCTATCCTTAGCTAAAATGTCCTTCACTCTCTCTTCACCTCAGCCAGATCTACCTTGACAGGTTGGAGACATGTAGGGTTGATTACTGAAACATTTCTTACATCTTGGTCTGCAGAAAGCACCTTTTGTGCCGGTTCCTCATCAGGTCTCTCATGAGGTGGTTGGATTCCTTAATCTCTCAACATAACTAGCATAGGAATGGTATTATTTCAGTGTAGATAAAATCCACCTTTTTGATGCAAAAAAAGAGATCGGCGAGAAGACTTCATTTAAATTAAAATTTCATTTTAATGAAAACATATGAACTTTAATACACTATGCTGGGAAAATTTTCAAAATGTGTCATAAACAGTTTACTCAACACTGTACTTGAAAGTCTGTTTTTTCATTTCTGACGTTTAACAGTTGATTAGTGCTGTCACCACCACTTTCCCTTTCTCTATTCCTAATGCAATCCATAGAGATAACAACTATCTCTAGCTCTGTTTATGTTCCCTGGAAGTGGGAACCAAACGCTTGTGTTGATGAGAACCTGCTGAAAGTGGATTATTGCCAAGAGAATTAACATAGCACCCTAAGTAAGAAAACAGGAACTTGGCTATAGAATTATTTATGCATGGTTGTGTCTCTTTCTTTTTTTGTTTTAGTTGCAGTGAAGAGTGACTATAGAATATGTGCACTGCTAAACTTATATCCAAGATTTCTCAAGAACGAGGCATCTGTAAAACTTTAAAACTCAGCGATGATGATTAAGCTCCTGGAAGAAAACTAAAAGTATCATTAAAAATCTGTGCCAAAACTGATTCTGTTATAGAGCTGGACTTCTGTCCTGGTCCTCTACCAGCTCTATTCAGCATAGAAAGTTGGTCTGTATCTGGTGTCCCAGCATCACCTCTAGCTGGTGAAAATGTTCCTGCCAGGGCTGCTTCAGCAGTGGCTGGTGAGCTCCTGGAGAGCCTGTCCTCTTGGGTCTGGTGAGCAGAGTCACCTTCAGTCCCAGAAAGTTATAGGACTTTCTTCTAACCATGAAATTGAAATGCTTTGGTAGTTCTAATTCAATGTTTGGTAGTGCCTTTTTTTTTTTTTTTTTTTTTCCTTTTTTTTTTTTTTTTTGGGCGGGGGGGGTGGAGAATTTATTAACTCTTTGGTGCTCTCTTTATACAAAGAAAGTGTGTGAGATTTTGTTTAAAGGTCTGTGGCTTAGCATACTGATAGAAAAACTTCTGTGACTATGGTACTTTGTTTTACCATAACATGCTGAATCCCACTGTGATAGTGGTTTCTGGTTTTAGAAACAGTCTTCCATGGGTATCTCTGAAAGGGTTCATCTAGGCCTGCTGAAAAATGGATCTCAACAAAAAAAGGAAAAAGAAGAATGGAGAAGAGAAATTCTGTTGGCTGGTTTTTACAAGAATGAAAGTTTGGCAAATAAGGCCCAAGGCACTGTAAGGAAAAGAGATGTTAGGTAAGTTCTCACAGATGCTACCAGACATACACTGTTCCTTAGCCAGGAAATACTGCTGCTCCACATGGGCTTACATCAAACACCACGTAGGGCAGAGCAGAGTGATCTATGAGGTCCTGAAGTCTGGATCATATTCTCCCGCAGCTGATATGTCTCACATCATTCAAGTTTACTGGCTGAAAAGGAGCTCTCTAGACCCGCATAAATTGAGTCACCTCATGCTGCCTGTAAAGCGTTGCATGTGTTTCCTTAATTACAGAGTGCTCTTTGTTCTGCCTTGTGTTAGGCTCTTCAAAATCAGGTGACACAGACATGACCTGTATTCTGGGCTAGGTGGGTGACTTGATCTTTCAATACAGGACAACTCTGCTTCTTTCACCCACCTGCTCTGTGCCCCAGCCACTGAGACAGCAGATCTGCACTATACCTGGGTCATGAAAGATGGGATGGGATGTGTGGTGGTGCTGTGCCACAGGCAGCAAGAGCTGCACTGTGAAAAAAAAAACCCATGTTCCCCCAAAGCAGCAGCTCTGCACCTAAGTAATGCTACTTGTGCATGGGCAGGGGTATCTGCCCTATGGTCCCAGGAGTGCAACTGGATGTCTGCCTCTGGATGTGGCCTTTCACTGGGGCCTCATTCCTTAGTATCGTTGCTGCTTGGGAGCTCTGCAAATGCTTCCCATCTGTTGAACACGATGATTCCATGCCACTGCTTTCATCTTGCTAAGGAGTAATAAAACACAACAGGCCCTAATAATACCAAATTCAGTCAAAGGATCCAATCCAGACCTCCAGTGACTTTCCAGCCACTAAGGCTACCCTCTTAGTGCCCTTGTCTCACTGTTGTTCAAGCAGCTGCTTAGTGCCACGATCTTAGGGGACATCTCTGCATATCCCTGCTGGATTGGCAACATCACCTATATGAACGTTAGAGTCCAAAGAAAACATCCTTACTTGGTCCTACAGGAGTGAGAGTCATGTTGCTTCCTTGGGTAATGCCAGAAAAGTAGCAACCCTCAGTACCCATGGAGAGGCACCTGTTCTGAATTCTGTTTTCAGACCTGAGGAAGGACAAGGCTCAGGCTACACATTCTTTTGCAGTCCATCACCAAGACAGTGTGTTGTCCCAAGGCTAAGCTCTGGGACCACTCAGGGTGCAGCCACAGGACCTGTGGCGCCTGGCACAACTACTTGCTGGTGGCCAGTGGCAAGGTGGATGCAGGCAACTCCCAGCCACTATTATTGCCAGTTTTGCCTGTTTGTTATTTTGGTGTGTTTTGTGGGTTGCTTGGTTTTTGTTTTGTTTTTTGGTGGGTTTTTTGTTTGGTTGCTTGGGTTTCTTTTCAATCAGGCTTGCCTCAGGGCTGGCAGGCACTGCAGGGCTTGTGGAAATACTGTGAAAGCAGATTCCACCCCCTGGTTTCCAAAACGACTGCTACATTTACTCCCGTGTTTCACCCCTGCTCTTACAACCAGCCGAGGAAGAGAAAGGATGCTCCTGCTCTTTGGCCCGTCACTGAAAGTGTGAGCCCCCAGCCCCGAGCCAAGGCTGCTGTCCCTCCCTCTCCCAGGGCTCTCTCTCGGGATCCCCCCTGGAGCTGACCTGGGCTGCAGCACCCGAGGGGTCCGGCCACTCCTCACCCGCTGGGGCCAGCTCTTGGCAGCCTCCTCACGACGGCATCTCGGTCTGTTAATGCCGGTGAGAAGCAGAGAAGGCTCCTCCTGGACTTGTCGGTGTTCCCAGGGCGACTGGGATAACAGGGCTGACGGTGTTTCCTGACAACGGGTAGTGCCACCCCTCTGATCGGTGTCACCAGCTGAGCTGATATAAAAGAGAGAGAGGATGCTCACTCTCTGTGGGGCGCTGCTGGTGTGCCCTCTCCTGGCTGCTGAGGCAGACAAGCTGCTTGGCATTGATTATCCTTGCTAACCTTTAGTTCCAGCCTGGGCAGCAAATCGTCACAATTCCAGTTAGAAAGTACTTCTGCTGGCAAGGAGTAGTCATGAGTTTGTCTCACCTAAACAACAGAGCTGAGAGCCACTTTAAAGTATCAGAGGTCCATGAACTGGAGACAGTGGGAAAGAAAGCTTGGGACAATCTTGCTTACAATGGCTCTCCCTCCACCTCCCTGAAAATTCAAACCATTTACAACCCCAAGTCTATGCTGGAGAATCCCTATGATAATTTTGAAGAGGTTGGGGATTCACTTCCCTACCAGGAAGAACGGACCAAAGCTGGGAATGGGAAGACAAATCCTTTCCTCAAGTGCTGCTTCTACATCTTCAGAGGCATCCGAGGTAAATCTCTGGTATCTCATTAGAAAGGAGTTATTAGCCCTCAGAGTAATGGTGTGGGAGGGAGGGGAGGAAGAGAAGGGATGCAGAAGGTAGAAACCTCATAGTGTCTGTGTAGCCCAGGGACCTGTTCAACATGCAGTAGCTTTACTCCAGAGATCATCTTGGGCTGACCTGAAAGGAGCATCCTCGTCCTGTGTGCCTTGCTATAGCTTCATGATCTGTGTTGTTACCTTTACTACAAGGTAAGGGACTTAGTGGTGTGCCCAAAGTCATGCAGTTAATCTGCTGGCAGAGTTTAGGTGCTCTGAATCCCCAGGAGCCATCACTGTGGTGGTGAGACTATTCTGTCTTTGTGTGCATTTTCTAGATAGAGTGGTACTGGCCCCTGTGCTACAGTAACATAAGAACTGACATATCTACCAGAGAAAATTTAGCACTGTCAGGACTGAAATGTAGAGGATTACAGCAATGTATCAAATAATGCTTTGTTTGAAGGTAGCTGAAAGAAAGAGGTGCTGTTTTCCAATTTAAAAGACAAAGGGGAATAAAATATTATGTAGGTTTATTCAGAGGCAAGCAAAACCCTGGGGGCAAGATAAGTCTCCTGTCAGGATACAGTCCTGGGTATGGGCATTATTTGAACAGTTTCTTATAGAAGGCATAAAATTCTATTTAATAAACAGGAAAGATAAAGCAAAGAAAAAAAGTTCTTGCCAATGTCTCTTTTTTTCCTCTCTTGGAAGGCAAGAACCTTTCTCAGAGCCATACCCTCTAACACTACGATTGGGTGAATAACAGTACAGCTTGGTCCTGAATTGCACTGCCCCTCTATGATCAATACTTTTGTCATTGCCATTACAGTCCAACACTACTAATTCACATGGAATTCAGAGCAGAGGCTTTAGAGATTTCTCCTGGCCAAGGAACTGTGCTGAGTGGGTTTGGTAGCTAATTACAGATTACTCTTAGGCAGTGTATCATTTACCTGGTTTATTCTGAGATGTTTTCTTCTAGGCATTGTTTGAGGCTTAAAATGGAAAAACATATCCATACTTTAACATCAAATTTCCATTTGTGAGCTGCCAGAGTTGAATTTGGAGCACACAAATGATGATAACTGTCAGGATACTACATAATTTTGTTCTTCTGGCTGTTGCAGCACTGTGTCCTGATACTAAGGGTGGTAAATAGGGCTGTAGGAAATACCAAAGCTGGGAATCCAAAGGCCAGTACAGACAGACCAAAGGCTTCTTTGAGCCTCACTGAAGTGGGGACATTTTCCTCGAAGAATTTACTTCCTTCTTTTGCATGTTTACTAGGTGCTCATCCTTTTTCATTGCCTCTCCGTTGCTGGTTTTCCCCTTTTACATTTAGTCACCTTGGTGTCTCACATGGAAAATAGAAGTAGTACATATAAGTTAGTGAGACAATGAGAGTTAGAGAGGTTGGAATTTTACTTAAAAAAACATTTCCTGGGATTACATATCCATAGCTAGTGATAATAGCTGGATTATTAAGATTTTTTTCTTGTCCTCATCAGTTAATGTGCTGGGTTAGTAGTGAGTAGCTGCTGCTCCTAGTGCCACTGCTCAGGACCATTCCTCTCTAAGCAATGCCCAAGCAACTCTGTGTCCTGGTTCCTGCCTGCCTCCTGCCACTTCTGCTGTTTCATGGCCAGCCCATGGACAGGCTTTGCTGGGTATCTGAGTGCATAGTGGTTGATGAGGGATACCCAGCTTCCCACTGCCTTTGGAAGAGGATCTCCAGCTATACCTGAGACTGTGAGCTAGTCACTCACTTGGGTCACAAGTCTGGTTTAAAAACACACTCAGAAGATAATGTAAGTGTTGCCAGTAATCCTTATCAGTCACTTGTTACTATCAGGAAGGTGAGACTTATAAATTAATTGCATTCATAGCCTATTTTCCAGATTCTGTTATTTTTTCTTTGCTCAGCTGTGTGAATGCTGGATGGTCATTTCAAGGTGCCATAAGGAAGACTGGATATCTTCTAGCTTTGAGTCCTTCTACTCCAAATGTTGTGTCCAAAATAGCTGCATCCCCAGGGGGATAGGTGGTGCCAAAGGAGGCACAGATGGGGACATGCCTCATGTACGAGGTGATAGATTTCCCCGGTATCTTTCCTAAAGATACAGCTGACAGTAAACCTCAGCTGATACAGTATTACAACTACTGCATTCAATCTGAAAGGACTGGAGCAGCCTCGTGGTCCTCCAGGTATCATTTTGGGAAAGTCTCTGAACCAGGTTCTCAAGGATATTTGACTGTCCTTGAATTTAGGTGTTCCTGAGTACACTTCTGTTCTCAAAATAAAGAAGTGTACTTGCTGTGCATTTGCTCCAAACATATGGATAGTAGGAATTCCCTTCTCATGGAAAAACCCCAAACAAACCTGTTAAAAGATTGTGATGTAGTCATGTCTACAGATGAAGGCAGTGATTTAAAAGCAACCTGAAGAGATGGGCAAATTGTTTCCCCATGTTTTTCTCCATTGTGAAGATCCCTGTAGATCACATGATGCTTTCTCCTCCACAGGAGTTAATCCAGATCATCTCCAGGCTGTCATTTCTGTTGCTGGTCTGGATTGCCCAGAACAGCCTGGTTTGTCTGTCCAGAAGTGACAGCAGATGCTGCAACAGTCACTATAGTAGTTAATGGTGCAAAAAACTCTCTAATCTCTTGAGATGCCAAAGAGCTATCAAATTGACAAGATAAATGCATACAGACCACTAGAACACTTTTGCTTACTTCAGATAAAAAAGAAGTTTGTCATCTGCCAGAGATGACTTCAAATGTGGGGCCTTTGATCAGCTTTGATCTTGGTTTGCAGGAAGATGGTTGCTGCATTCTACTGGGGAAAGGAATCAAGGCTGAGCTCTCTAGGAGTTGCAGAAAGCAGCAAGACTATGGCAATTATTGACATGGCTTTCAACACTAGGCTTTTAATTGAAAGTTCTTATGCCTTTCAACTTCAGGAGCATTCCAGAAATCACAACAGGAAGCCATTACAAAAAGAACAAACAAATACACTAATGGTGTTAGGTGGCTCATCAAACCCAAAATATCAAGGCTCCTTTTGAAGGAAGCATTTCTCTCTTATTGATAACTCTGGTGACATTTAATGAGTTGTGTGAAGAAATGGGATCTTTAGCTGGTGCAATTGGTGTATTGGATTCCGCTAAGCTTCATTGTTAGATGTCTTGAAGATAATTGGGCTCTAAATGTTATACTGAAAATATTGAGTTGGGTTATTTGATTGAGTTTTATGACGAGCAAGAAAACCACAAGAGTTTTTAGGTAAGCAAGAGAAAAATATTTGGGGCCTAAAAGGAGTAATAGTTGTAAAACTAACGCCAGTTCTGCAATGGAAGACCTTTCAGAAGGTCAGCTGTTGGCACATGGGTGACTGAGATGAAATATCACAGTTTCAAGAGAATTTGTGACAAAGACTGAATTTCTGCAAAGAGTAAGCTGAAAAAGTCAGGAAAATATCAGGCTATAACAGAAAACAGAAGAAACATAAAACTAAATAGCGATTTAGCAAAATAAAAAGCCAGTATGTTTCAGTGTTGATTAGCCACAAATCTTTTATTCATGCTGGAATGGTTCTTCTTAGGGGTATTTAGCACATTTTTATGGGTCAAGTTTTGAAATTGAACGTGGCTTGGCCTTGAAAATCGACAAAACTTCAACTTCCAACAGTGGGTTTTTTGGTTTTTTTTGGAACAGGACTATAGCTCCTCACATGACCCTTGAGAATGGCCATGAAAACTTACAGTCCCTTCTTTATACCCAACAGGTCTGTGGGGCACTACGCTGACTGAGAACACAGCTGAAAACAGGGAGCTTTACGTGAAGACCACCCTGCGAGAGCTGCTGGTCTATGTTATGTTCTTGGTGGACATCTGTCTATGTAAGTAGCTGTCATATCTCATAGGCATCATTTCTGTGTGCAGCGTGAGGGGAATAATGTGAGATTTTTTTTGCTAGTCTTCCGTGCTCTGCTGTAAAAGGTACATTTATTGTATGGGCACTCACTGCAGCAAGAAGCAGTTATTAATCTACAGAATTGATGCTGCACAGAGAAGTAAAATTACTGATCAATGCTAACTGATGTTGGTCAGATTTAAGCAGTATTTTCTGATTGGTACTGTCAGTTCTAGCCGTTGACTCCACAGTTCTAGGAGAATCTGCCTAAGGTCTATTCTCAGTTTCACAGCAAATGCTCAACACCCAGAGAGCAGCTCTAGAAACTTCTTGGTATCAAAGACACAGTTCAGGAAGATTTTCCCCTCTGAGACTGGAGGGGTAGCTGAGCTGATAAAGCAGATGGCTGCTCACCCTGTTGTTCCTGAATGTAATGCGTCCCTGTACTGAATGCTAATGCTAATATGGACTTTGTGTCAGTAGGACAATGGTCGTTTGGTTTTGCAAAGGTTTATTTGTTATCACAAGTGAGCACCTGTGGCATGGAACTGTGAAGAGGGTTATATTTCATGGACTCTATGGCAGGAGAGATGGACATACAATACCACCCTAAGTTACTATCATGCTGGCCCAGGGAGATAGTGCTTCAGTCACTCTTCCTACAGAACCAAGACACACGCACACAGACGTACGTGTTGTCACACACTGACTCATCCAGGAGGTGTGGGGGGTTGTGTCTTGAATGTCAGGTGCTTTATTTTCCTGGTGTCCTTTTAAGAGTAGGACATGTTCTTTGTGATCACCATGATGGATGATTTTATGAAGGAAGGAGCACTGGAGAATTGAAAAAACATGCTTGGGGAACTTAGAGCCTGCTCCTCTTGGAGTTTCTTGGTAGATGAAAACTTACCTGGAGCTTTTCACTTGGGAAAATAGGGTGGTCTTCGTGCCTTCATGACTTCACATGAGAAATTCAAAATATGGGTCATGGACTTTGTTCTGAGAAATAAAATTTCCCTCAGAAATTTTGTCTGGGAACAGTAACTGTTATCCAGAATAGTTATCCAGTGGTCTTCTCTCACTACTTAACTATTATAGTTGGTCAGTCTGACTGTTCAAACTCTGGAACACAGAGCAGATAAGTTTGTAAATCCCTAAGAAAGCAAAAAGCCCTAAGATTTATTCTCCTGTACTTTGTTCAGCTTACCTGTGAAAATATAAGGTACATAGAAAGTGAATATATAAATGCATTTATATCAGGCTCCAATATTCAGATATAAGGAAGGACCCTCCTCTTGTTCTCTTAGTGACATATGGAATGACAAGTTCCAATGCCTATTACTACACCAAAGTGATGTCTGAGCTCTTCCTGCAGACCTCTACAGATGGCCGTGTCTCCTTCCAGTCCATTGGCAGCATGGCTGACTTCTGGGTGGTGAGTACAGATCTGGCCTGCTGGGGGAACCCTGAAACTCAGCTCGACTGGGATATTCAGTTCCCTCTGATGTACTATCTAGTGACTTTAGCAAGACATTTTGCTGCCATAAGTTTTTGCCAGCTACTAGAAATAGTTACAATAACATTTGCATGCAAAATATTAATTGATTTAAAGTATAATTTATCCCTGAACACTGTATCCAGAATACTGGCTAGGCTAAGTTTTGTGCAGAAGAATCCATTTCCCAGTATAGCAGGCAGGACATAACAAAATAATTTTGGTGATATAAGCATCAACTCATTGCACAGATAGGAAGTACTGGCCTAGAGAAGGCAAAGAATTTACTTCAGGTTTCCTTGTGACACAAATGGCTTTGAATCCTAGAGTTCAAGGTCTTCAAGCTGGTATCTTAGTAATAGTCTATGTCCATTTTCATGGCATTTTGAGAACATCAAAATTAACCTGCCTGTAAGCTCAGTGCCTGGGCTTGTATAATCCAGATTCTTTAGGAAGAAGATAGATTAAAATTTGCAGTGACTTTTATGAAAGAGAATTAAAGAAGGGGGAAAACATCTGGGGTCTAACATATTTTTGTTGAAGAATGAGTGAAAGAATAATGAGAGTCTCAGTGAAGGCCATTGAGTTATTGCAACTACTTATCTCTGACAGCCAGAAATTATTTGTCCATTAGAGTTGCCTTTTTCTGTCGTATTAAAACACTCCAGCAAACAATGGCACTATTGTTTCCCCACTGCTGTTTCCAGGACACTGGCACACTCACTTTCCATCATTCATAACTTGTGCCACGGCAATTACTTGAGACTTGTGCTGACTGAAGTAGAAGAGACAATGAGACTTGTAGGGCTCTTGTCTCTTCATCAGGCGTAGAAGGGTGCCACAGGCACATCACAGGCCTGTGAGAAACCAACAGTGACCCTGCTGCCCAGTGTCCCTCCTCTGCCACCAGCCCTGGTCTTTCCTGTCCTTAACATACATGCAACACAAACTTCTACTACTTTCCATCTTGGAGACTGTAGAGGGGTGGGTCGGGGTCTTACTACCTCAATCCCAGACTAAGAAAATTCCTCTGATGTGTGAGCTATGAAGGAGTTGTTCTTCTCTGCCTCTTTGCAGTATGCACAAGGTCCCCTGCTGGACAATCTTTACTGGACAAAGTGGTACAACAACGAGTCCCTGGCAGCACACAGCACCCAGTCGTACATCTATTATGAGAACCTGCTGCTGGGTGTCCCACGCTTGAGACAGCTGAAGGTGAAGAACAACTCCTGTGTGGTCCATGATGACTTCAAGGAGGAAATCTCAGGCTGCTATGATGTATACTCTGAGGACAAGGAGGAAAAGGTCTCCTTTGGGCTCATCAATGGAACGGCGTAAGTACATCTAATCCAAATTAGTCTCTTCTAGATCAAGTAAGAACTGCTGAGCTGCAGGATGCTGAGGGTGAGTTTCTCACATAAGCTGGAATTCGCCTTGCAGTCAGAGGCAGAAAGGCCTTTTTGTCTATCAATAAAGTCTAGTGTCTTTGTGTAGAAACACAACAGAATGAATTTTCATGTTGGGAAAGCCATGAAAAATCCAGCGGGAATATAGGAAGAAATTGTTGCCTATATTTAAGAGAGTGAGGATAAATAAAGACCTTTGGGGCCAGATCCATCAAATGGAGAGCTGGCATTCATCTGGCAAGTTACTGTTTGCTTTCCTCTGGGATTGCAGGAGCCAGAGAAAAGGGAGTGCATCTCTTTTATCTTTACAACCTGTTTCTATATAATAATGTTACGTAGCTGCAGTTTAATAATTGCCCACTGCATGAATCTTGATCCATGAATAAGAAGCTATTATTTGTTAGGAAATAAGAGTATAAGAGCATTCTAAGCAGGTGGTTGTTTATGATGTGGTAGAAGGTAATAGAGGAGATCCTGAAAATAACTTCCATGAAAACAAGACTGTTATGGCCAACAAACGTCAGAATTTTCCCTCGTTAATATTGAAAATCATGTTGTGTCACTGCTGAGAAGCACTAGACCAGAAAACTAACCATAATGGTTACCAGTATTATGTAGGGTTAGATCAGGAGTAAGAATTAGGTGCCAATTCTTCAATTGAAAATTGCTCTGCCCCTTGAAGATACAATTTTTTCTTGGGTATAAGGCTATATTCAAGCCTGAGCAGGTGAAGCCTTTGTGCCTTGTCTGTTGCAGGTGGAGGTACCACACTGAGGAGGAGCTGGGTGGTTCGTCTCACTGGGGAAGACTAACCAGTTACAGTGGGGGAGGATACTACATAGACCTCAAGATGACCAGAGAAGAGAGTGCTGAAGCCCTGCAAGTCTTGAAGGAGAAACTGTGGCTGGATCGGGGAACACGAGTTGTCTTTATTGATTTTTCTGTGTATAATGCAAATATCAATCTGTTCTGTGTTCTGAGGTAAGCTGAGTCCTGACAAAAATTCTTCAGCCTCTTGCATCTTCCTCAATGCCTCAATTTGTTTCTTAAAATGCAAATATTTTATTATGGCCCACCTGTGGGATGGGTCTGAGTGATGTCAGTAGAAATTGTATGGATTAGTGAGAAGTTTTGGTCTTCCTGAAATAACCAGTCACATTTCTCATCATGTTTCACCCTTTCCTATCACAGGCAGTGAAACAGCAAAGATATGGCTGCATAAATGCATACACAACACTTCCACTCTTGGTCTGTCCCTCTTTTCACTCATGGATAGCTCATGCTCAAGTTTGATGCCTCTCAAAATTGTCTCTGAGCCTCCATCCCCTAGCTTGAAATTGTTTCCTTGTCCCCTTTAAGGTTAGTGGTTGAGTTTCCAGCCACTGGTGGTGCCATTCCCTCCTGGCAAATCCGGACAGTGAAGCTTATACGATATGTCAGCGCGTGGGACTTCTTCATTGTTGCCTGTGAAATTGTATTCTGTGTCTTTATCTTCTACTATGTGGTGGAAGAGGCTTTGGAGCTCCGTATCCACAAGCTTCAGTACTTCACCAGCATCTGGAACATTCTGGATGTAGTTGTCATTCTGGTGAGGATCCTTGCACACTTTTTGGGGGGAGCAATGGCAGAGATGTATAACAGCCAAAATAAATGAAGGAATGTGGAAATTAATCTAGACAAGAACTGTCACATGTTTTGCTCTAATGCTAAAATGGACAGCAGAATAAATGGACACGTGCTCTTGTGTCTGGAAGAACTGCTAGGAGAAAGTTCTAAGAAGAACTTTCTTAGAGATGCCCAAGAGACTGTGAAGTCAGGGCATCATTCAGCACATCAAGACCATATTTCCATAGCCCATCACTAGATTGCAGCTCTGAAGTGAGATTCCAATGAGTTCTGTGACATTTTAATTTGCATGGAAAGCATAGGAACAGTGGTCACTGCAGACTATTCCTCTTCCTCTTTGCAGCTCTCCATTGTCGCTATTGGGTTTCACATCTTTCGCACCACTGAGGTGAACAGGCTGCTGGGAGAGTTGCTGAAACGCCCCAACACCTATGCAGACTTTGAATTCCTGGCATTCTGGCAGACACAGTACAACAATATGAATGCAGTCAACTTATTTTTTGCCTGGATCAAGGTACTGTAGGGGGTCTGGGAAGTGCCAGGTCTCCAGCCAGGCCTCTCCTTCTAGATAGTTTGAGGGTTGTCTCTTCCTTGCCTCTGAGTAAATGAGTGTAACAGCTATAGAACAGAGAATTTTCCTCAAAGTCATATGCTCTGTTTTGCAGTAAATCTGGGCAACTTTTCACCCTGCATTCTGAGGTCAGTTATTTGGAGATAACAGTCAGGGATATGAGCTCAGACACTGTGGTGTAAAAGTGGTTTTAGAAAATGCTGGGTACCGTGTAACTCTGTCCATCCTGTACTATTTTGGTACTTTTGAGGATAATCTTGCAAACCATGGTTTTTTTTCACGATGGTCACTCAAGAGCTGGAAATGACTCATCTGTTGACATGGACTTTGCATTTCAACTAAAGCATCTTGGTGTGGTGAAAAGCCAAGAGGATCCACATCAGCCTTAAGAGATTTGTCCTTCTAGCAGTCCCTGTTTATATTTTCCTTTGACAGATGGAACAAAGTCATGTTTATGAACCCAGAGAAGGATGGTGGCACACCTGGGATAAATGTCCTAGCCAACTTTCTCCTCAATACAGCAGTGGTCCTGTAGTGAGCCTCTTGTCTTAGTAAGCATGTGCATCCATGAGAGAGACTGATCTAGCTGATGGTTTGGCCTAACTTTGTCCCCATTCTTCCATCTTGCAGATATTCAAGTACATTAGCTTTAACAAAACAATGACCCAGCTCTCCTCCACACTGGCACGTTGTGCCAAGGACATCCTGGGCTTTGCCATTATGTTCTTCATTGTCTTCTTTGCCTATGCCCAGCTGGGTTACCTACTTTTTGGGACACAAGTGGAAAACTTCAGTACCTTTGTTAAATGCATGTAAGTGTGTAAGTTAGTACCATGTTTCCATAATCTTATCAAAATAATTTTAACTGCTTTCCACTCTTCCCCCCATTTGCAAATCTTAATGTCAATTAGACACCTGTTGTATATTATTATAATAAAGCCACAATGGTTAATAAGTTGCTCACAGCCTTCTGGCTGTGACATCTTCATGGACAAAAGAATGCAATGAGAAAACTGGAGTGCAGATTTCTGTTTGTCTGATGTTTACCAGTAAGGACAAGAGATAGGGTGGATATTGCTAAGGATATCTACTTCCACAGAAATCCCACATATATTGATCAATATATCTGAGATGGAGCATGACCAGTGGTGAATGAGCACACATAGAAGGGAGTGTTGGGGAAGTGAGTTAAAATCCCATCTCAGACAATCCTGCAGTCCATGGGCCTGCTCAAGTAATGTATGATGGTAATGGAGGTATCTGCTACAGCAATGGTTTTCAGTTTGTGTTCCACAGACCTCTGGGCGTCCAGGTCCTGCCTTTGAGGGGTCTACAAGAGAAAACTGAGATAAGGAAGCTTGGGATCAATACACTTAAACTTTCTTCATTATGGGGGCTATGAGCTACAAAAGGTTGAAGAGCACTGTTCAGTTCTAACATCCCTCCAGAGTCTCACAGACTCTCCTGCAAGAGATGGCTTTGTTGAGTCAAATGCCTTTAATCAGGGAAGTTTTGGTTCTGACTCCTATTTATACCAAAACATGATTTGGACAACCTGAATTATGTGGAAACCATGTTTTATTTTCCACTTGCTCTAACCAGATCAGCTTGATTCACCCCTGAAATACTATGGATGCATTTAACTTGACACTCTGGAGCGACTTAGACCCTGCTCTGGTTTGTGCCTGTGCCCATCTGGGCTACAGGCAGGTTCAGGTTCACTTCAGAACTGTTTGCATGTGCCTTTATGTGACCCTGGGCTCTTTCTTTCCCCCAGTTTCACCCAGTTTCGGATCATTCTTGGTGATTTTGACTACGATTCCATTGACAATGCCAACAGGGTCCTTGGGCCTATTTACTTTGTCACCTATGTGTTCTTTGTTTTCTTTGTGCTTCTGGTAAGCAATGAAGTTCTCCTTGTCCCTGTGTTGAAAGCAGTGTTTGAGAGACCCCTCCTGACAATCCCTGGGTTAGGTGCAAATGCTTAGAAAAGGAGTTTCGGTTACAATAGCTTTGCAGTGCAAATAGACCACAGTAGGCAAAGAGTGTGTTACTACAATTGGGGATTTGATTATTAAGGTGATGAAAGGCTAACATCTGTTAGGGTGAAGGCTGAAACTGACTGGCTTCCTAGGCAATGGATGCAGAGGGATGCTCATTATAACCAGGTTAAACACCCAGTGTCAGGAGTCCATATGTAACAGAAGATTTTGCAAGAGAAGGTAACAAAGGTAGTATTTGAGGTGGGAACAAATGTACTTTCAGCCACTGCTTTAACTGCAAAAACTTAAGAAAACAGTGTGGCTGAAATGGGCCTTTTCTTCACCCTCTCTAATTTGCCCAAGAGATACCCCATAGGGAAACAACTCCTTGTTTAACTAAGTCTTGCACATCTATGTCTGTTTCCTGCTGCTTCAGCTGCTGGAGCAGGCAGGATGTCTCACTTCATCTCATTTCTTCCCCTTTTCCTAGAACATGTTTCTGGCCATCATCAATGACACATACTCAGAAGTCAAGGAGGAACTTTCGAGCCAGAAAGATGAGCTGCAGCTCTCTGACATCTTGAAGCAGGTGATGAATAGTTCAAGCTGTGCTACTTTCCAGCTAAATCATGAAGCATTTTTTGGAAGTCCCTGACCTAAGTGGAATTTACTAGTGAGAAACAATGGATGACAACTCCAGTCCTCTTCTTTGTATGCACAAGAGTCACAATTCCTTTCTGGGATAAATCAAGCTCCCAAACCCTCTGGCAATGAGAAGATGAGAAAGCAGGTGTTGGGGGAATCCTGTTACTTGATGTAGTGTTTCTGAGAGACTTTTCTTCCAGGATGGTTTCTAGACAAAGCTCTTTCAGTCCTTCAAAAAATATACTTTGATCAATAACATGGCAAGTCCTGCTGTGCTAAGCTGAGCCTGTTACAATGGCACAAATTTAGCAGGTTAAATCTGGCTTTCCCATGGGTAAATTCCAGAAAAGTTCCTGGAAGCTCACAATTCTGTTGTGGGACCAATATTCTGCAAGGAATAGTATTTGAGACGTTATCTTAAACAGCTGATGTGTTGGGAAATCAGATAAAGGAAGAATTGGGACAAGAAAAGCAGAGGGTTAGTGTGTCAGTGTCACTCTGAAGGCATGATTCTAGTTTAGAAGTGAGGTTCATCCAGCAGTGATTTTTCTGCTTGTGGAAAACTTGAAAACTCCTGGTATTAGTTATTGTATGCTCACCTGTATTACATTGCCCACTCTGCTCTACTTTCCACTGTTCTGTGTGCGTGATTCTCTGTCTGTATCCTTGGTATCAGAGCTACAACCGGACACTCGCAAGGCTGAAGCTGAAGAAGGAGCAGATTTCTGATGTGCAGAAAGCCCTGCAGAATGGAACGAAACAATTAGACTTTGAAGACTTCAAGAATAGCTTGAAGGAGTAAGTGAATCAGTTAAAGGGATGCCCACTTAATCCTTTCTCTTAGTAATACAGGTAATTTTAATTTTCTGCTTTTCAAGACAAGGAGAGCAGTTAGCTCAGATCTGGGCAAGTTAAGACTAAAAAAAATTATCTTTCCTCAAATGTTTAATTTCCTGTTCTAAATAGGTTTGTATAACTATCTCTTGCCCATTTGGGATAATTAGGTTTGTCACTGGCAGGAGGAAACAACACACTGATTTCAAAATTCCCACTCTGTTAGAGCTTAACAGTATAATTCTACACTTTGAGCCTTCTCTTTCTATTCTTTTCCAGACTGGGCCATGCAGACCATGAGATCACAGCAGCTTTCTCCAGATTTGACAGAGATGGCAACCACATCCTTGATGAAGAAGAGCAACAGCAGATGAAGCATGACCTAGAGGCAAAAAGTGTAAAAAAAAGGGCAAGGAAAAAAAATCTGTTTGGTAGACATCACTCCAAAGTGGCCTCAGGAATCTTTGGGTTTATGGTATAATCTAAGGAGGCAACTAAAATATCTTTCCAACTCTACCTAGATACCGCTGAGTGTATTGCTGCCTGTGAGGCTCTGTGTTATTGACAGTAAAGCTGACCACAGAGTTAGTATGCATATTTGCAGGAGTTTTTGTTTTCCAGGTTGCTCTGAATACAGAGATTGAAAATTTGGGGAAATCCTATGGTGACAACAACCTGGATGAGAATCTGACCTACATGGAAGCAAGGAATAACCAAACCAATAAGGCCACCTGGGTTTCCAAAGAAGAGTTCCAAGTGTACGTTTGTGCTGTCAGTAGTTTAAACACCCTGCAAATGAGGGGTCCAATTACTGCTGCTTCCTTCCCTGATGTAACTCTTTACAGTGGTGCTGAGCAGGTTCAGTATGATCTTGTCCCTTTTATCTTGCACCTGTATAAATAAGCAGGTCAGGAGATAACTGGGACTGTTCTAGTAATGTAGTTTGCTTGTTCCTGTAAAAGACTGAGTTAAGAAATTTTGCTTTCTGCCTCTTGAATAACCTCTGGAGCTGTCATCTAGCCACAGGCAACATGCTGTCATGTTTCAGGTCAGAAGGTGGCCCATATAACTGGGCCAGGGAAAGCTGATACCTTTACAGAAGGTCCTGTAGCAATAAATATCCTTGATTTATAGCCTGGTTGCCAGGTCCAAGAATAACACTTGGCTATTTCCTCCATAGGAGGAGCACAGGATAAACACAGCACAGAGAATTAGTGTATCTTGATTCTGCTACTGAGAAACACTGAGCAAACCACATAGGGCCCTATCAAAGGGGAGGCAGATGCACTATTTAATAATGGAGTGATACTGTGTCTGGGCTGGGATCCATCCTAAGCAGAACCACTAATTACAGATGAAAAGACAGTGTAGCAGGGAGTTATGTCACCAGTAGGTGACAAGTGAATCTGGGAGCATTCACTTGTATTTGAGGTCTCTGGGAGAGGTCTGCAGCAAATCCCTTTATTAATCACAAGAAAAAGATTACAAATGTTCTCCATGTTTCTCTCAGCCTCCTGCATCGTGTGCTGCAGTTGGAGCAGTCCATAAACAGCATTGGCTCCAAGATTGATGCAGTGGTGAACAAGCTTGATGTGCCAGAAAGAAAAGAGCTGAAGAGGAAGGATCTGTTGGGCAAACCAGTGGGTGATGTTAGCAAGGTTGGTAGCCCTCCACCATGCATTTGAACCAGCTTCAGAGCAGATGACCAGCCCTGCTGGGAGAAAGGGCCTCGTACCATCTTTGCTTTTCCAATCTTCACTGACTTAAGACAAAAAGGCTTGGGCAGGCTCAGCATTTTGTATGATCAATCCTTTTCTGTTTAAGCAAAATGCCACAAAACCTTGTTTTCATGTCCCCACAGTTAATGCTAGTACCTTTAAACACACCTTCTGGCTCCTTTGAGGCCAACCTCAGCCCTGCAGCAGTGGATAAAATTTGGCTGTCTTCAGTTGCTTTCTGACTGTTCATCCTAAGACATTAAAATTATCAAACTGTCCTTTCCAGCAAGAGCAGCTCATGGCTGTCATGAACTGTGATCTTGCCTGTGGATTATTTATCACACATGTGGTGGAAGATTGGTCAGCTGTGTGTTTATATCACTGCAGAATTGTGACTTTTGCCAAGGAGTGCCCATATTGAGTCAATCAGTGTATTTTAGATCTTCAGCTTTAAAGTCAAAGGCAGCAAGGCATGTGGGAGCTATGTCACTACTTCATGGTTTTGTGGCTTCAACAATGAGAATAGCCAAATAGCACAAATTGACCTAGCAGAGGGTCAGAAAGAAGCCTCCCTTTTGCAGAGTAGTCTTGTGATCCCTTCCCATCTGAAAGAGCGTTTTGGGAGGTGCTACTTCTCATGTGAACATGCCCAAAATCTTCTGCAAGTGTTTGTTTGCAGATTTGTTTTGCCACAGCATTTCTGTGAACATGCTTGCAAAGGATGAAAAGGGATGAATCTCTCCTTGTTTGTCTAAAATTTGAATGTGTATCCAGCAGTGTATTGGATCTTTAATGGATAGGCAAGGTTGTTCTAATTTCTGAGAGAATATGGGAAGGTATTTCAGTATCACAAGCACCTCGCCTCTCTCCTGGAGTGTTGCTAGACTTCTTGGTAGTTTGCTGACATTGCAGATCACACTTTCTTCTTGTTCACAGGAAGAAGCCAGTCAGAAAGAGCTGCACCCCCAGAGCCTAGACCAGCTGGAGAAAGAAGAAGCAGAAAGCTGGGGGATGGAACATGTACAGAGAAATAATCTGAGTGGCAACTCTTCCCAAAATAGGGTCTATCACATCTTGTCCAAGTCAAGTGTGCTGGGGTCTCAGGTGCCCAAGAACCTCTAGCCAGTCTGACGTGTACTTCTATAGGAGTGCTCAACAGCCTAGTGCTCCCAGTCTGGCTGCCATGGTACCAAGTTACTGTCAGTTATTCTCCCACTGTTAGGATAATCCAGACAGCTGGATACAGACACCACTGTTGCCAGGAACTCTTAATGTGAAAAATCAGGGACGCTCTTCTCTAGTGTAATGATACATCATGTCAGAGAGCTAGAACTTCTGCCCCCCTTCACCTTCTCCCCTGTACCCATATCTCAGGAAGAAGTGAAATTTGGCACTAGATGATGTATTAGATTTCTGTCTCTGAACAGGCTGGCATAACATTATTTATCTAGCCTTCCCCAAAAAATAGGGACGCCAGAACTCTGAACATTTATGTCCAGAGTGGCAACTGGTTCCCAACACATGATGGTCTGCAGGAGAAAGATATGGTTGTCTTGTAAAGAAAGCAGAATATACTCACTAGTGTGAAATGGGAAGAAGAAATGTAGTTGTTTCTACCTGGTTCTACCAGTTTTGTTCTGTTGTAGTTTGTTTCCAGATTACCTTGGTAAACCTTTCTGTACCTTAGATTCAGGTGTTGAGGAAAGAGATTACTAGTGCTTAACTCTGGGTAACTATAATAAGAGTTGACACCAGTGTAATTGGGAGGTTTGAAATATTCTAAAATGAGAAGCAGTTGGTGGAGTCCTAGGTCTCCTTGGAGTGTTAGGGAACAAATTTCTAGTTATATGATTTCTAACATAGCTATTGACACCAATAAATCATTGTCATTTATTTTCACACTTCTTAAATTGCATCTCAAGGTTCTTGCACCCCATTTATAAAGTTTGATGCTTCTTGTTTTTGTCAAGGAATTTGCAGTTGTGGGTGCTGACACCATTTGCATTGAAGAATATTGTGAAAATGAGATGAGTGTCAGTTTTTTTACCACATGCAAAATACTTATTTTCCAAGGATTTTTTTCTGTTTGCTGAGGCTTCTCTTTCCTTGTAATTGGTGCAGACTATTGCTGCTATTACAGGGCCATTGTAAATATATTTGAAATACCTTAATCACTGATATTCTGCAATAGTTAACCTCAAATAGGCTCAGTAGACTTAATAGAAATGTGAGCTGTACCAGACCACTGCTAATAGCTCTCATTAATGCTACACTCTTAAGTGTGCTATGCAGTGATAGGTTTAGTGGGGACCTTGTGCAGGGGCAGCTTGTATTGCCACCTTTTCTTAAGATGGATGTGTGACTGCATTCTGGGGAAAGCCTCTTCAGCAATGTCTGGAAGGACCTCAGGATGAGCCCTGTCCTCAAATGGCCCAGGTTTCACAGCCACAAGATAATCTTGATAAATTGAAGCAAAGTGTCATTCCACTACAAGAGCCCAGCAGGAGCTGTGAGAAGGAGCTTGTTGTCCAGCCCACAGGGAGATTAGATTTCAGACAGGAGCTGTGGAGGCAGGAACTGTGGGGTCTCATGACTCACTTCCTATCATCAGCTGGTCCTGCTCTTGGGGACAAGACTTATCTGTGAGATATTGACTCCCAGTTCTACTGAATTCAGAACTGAGCAAAACCTCTTACCTTCAGCTTTTCTGGCTGAAAACAGAACAACGGTGCTGCTTTCTTCTTTCTCCTCCCTGCATCAAAGCTATTATCTTATTCAGAAGAAAACAGCATGTCAGGAAAGCTTCCTGAAATAGTCTTTTTTCCCCCTCCAAATTTTAATGAATCAGAAAATTCATATGCTAAATTGTAATTGAGCAGAGGAGTTATGTGCTCTGTTATGAGCTCAAAGAGTGCACACAGCCCTTTGTAGCCAATTCATCAGGTCTTCTGTGTGTTGAAAAGCACAGAGGAAAGTTCTTACATATTAATTTTTAAGACCTTGTTTTAGATCCTGGCTCAAGAGCAGACTAGGAGTACCAAGGCATAATTGCAAAGTAAGAAAAAGAAAATTGGTTCTTTTGAAGTCTCTGAAGGAGTGTCTGCCTTTTCCAGGGACTCAAATTACCACATGAGATTCTGAGTCTGTATGACGGCACAGATATCAAATGCTTGGGATGCTGATCTTTTAGGAACTAAGTCTGGCACTTTGGGAGAGATCCAAGCAGCAGTTGTCTGCTTCAGCTGTTTGAACCTGTGCTAGTAGCCAGTGTGAAACGTTGCTGGCTGAGGCTGATCTCCTTAACCTAGAAATAAGTACTGTGGAGGTAACAGGATCCTGAAATCATGTTCTGCCAAGAAAATGAAGGTAAAACTTATTATCTATAAAGCTTGGCTTTACAAAGCCCCAGATTTCTCACAAGGGAGAGTGTTGTTTAGCTGCTCTGTTCAACAGAGGTGATTGCCCAGTGTTTCTTTTCTGTTTCCCTTCTGAGCTGTGCCAGACCTCAAGACCAGCCCCACAGAAAACCTCCCACTGTGGCAGGGATGCTGTAGCCACAGCAGCACAGTGTAAGAGCCCTGCCTGTCACTACACAGCAGAAGATAACCTTCACTCCCCTGCTCCTTTCTGCACAGGGACTCCCATAACTATCATGGAAGGCAGGTGAAGTGCAGAGGTGTGAAAGGTGAACTCAGATCCATGGGACAGCGACCAACAGCATCAGGCAACGAGCTCCCAGGCACTGAGTCTGCTCTTGAGGGCAGCAGGAGGAGCAAAATGGTAATGTGCAGTGTTTGTTCATGCCTGAAACTTGAGAAGCCAGTTTTCCCCTGCAAAGGGAGAGCATGGGAGTCTCCACAGGGCCACTGCAGCTGGGAGGGATGTCTGCCTCTCACTCTGCCTTTCTGGTAAATACAGGAGACTCCAGCCCAGCTTGCCAGGGCTCTCCCTTTCTCTCTGGCAAGAACAGCCTGGCAGCTTCGTCTCTCTTGGACTTGGGGGACAGCAGTCAGCGTGCCATGTTGAGGAGCCCTAAACCAGTTCTGGCTGTGATGAGACAAGAACTGCAGGCTATAGTGGTCTCCCAGGTCACTCTTTCCCCCTTTCTTGGCAGAAAGACCACTTCCCCCTGTGCTGTGATATTAGTAGTGGCAGTGCTTCTCAGTGTAAAACAACTTCTGTTACTGGCATGTGCCTATGCCTGCAATAATCTTGTATTTCTTGTACATCTTCATGCCATGGTGCCTTGTCTGGTCATTGTTTGTGCTGTCAGGTATATGATGTGTCCTAGAGCAGGCAAGGAAGTTACTTGTCCCCAGCATTTACTTTTGTTCAATTGTCAATTGTGTTTTCAAACTTGTTGAGAAATAGTATCAGTACACCAAATGGTAACTTCATACAGCTTTTCTTTTCAAATATGTATTGTGAGGACTCCCATCAGGAGCTGATATTACTTAGATGATACATGTCTCATGAGTAAAGTATTTGTTCCTCAAAAAAAAAAGATGCACGATTGTGTTTTGTTTCAATCTGCAAAGGGTAGCTTTCCAAACTGCACTGTGCCAGCTGTGCCTTGAAGTGGTTAAAATCTTTGGGAAGAGATTTGGAAAAGTATAAAGTGCTTTGAAGAGATATCAGCAGTTATCACTGTTATTTATGTTGGCTCTAGCAGTGGATGTGGTCTGAGGCCCACTCTGGCAGGTGCTGTGTGCACTCCTGATTTAGAGCCAAGGGGGAAGGAAGCAGTGTCCTACCATGATTTCAAAGTACAAGTGAGGCAGAGAGATTCATGGATATGTGCAGGGAAGGGCATGGCAGTGATGTCTGAGAGGAGGCTCAGGCATCTGGCAATAAGCAGCCCCAACCAGCTGTGCCCATGAGCGTGGAAAGCTCCTGGTCGTGTCTCTTTGCTGTGTCTCTCCAAGAACATGATGCTATAGTCTTAACAATGAGCAAGCATAACTTTTCATGTTTAAAAGGAAACACATAAATCCCCTGACCCTCCACAAATACAGCAAAGCTTCTAGTTACCTTATTAGTCTGTTTTGGTTTACCAGTAGATGTCAGTCAGCACTACTCACAACCCCTTGCACCTACACTCCCTTCTCTTCTGTTTTCAATGGACAGAAACAAATTTGTCATTTGTTTTACTGAGAGAAACTGAGATACAGAAACATTCCCTTCGTGGTGACAGAGAAAAGACAGAAGCAGAATCCATGGCTTCCAACAGGTACTTTATAATACTTGACCCTTACACTTGAGTATTTGTTGCAAACTTTATCTATCTCAGGCAGGTTATAATTCTCCCTACAACGTGTAAAAAGGGTTTATACAGGTTTTGCTAATTTTTTTTCAGTCTTGTGAAAAGTTCCTAATGAGTGCTATTATTAGCCTGGAGCTGCTGCTAACTGGTCAGTCTTTAGCACAGAAGGCTGTTAGCTGGAGGCTGCCCTGCCCCTGTCTGTTTTACAAACACGCCCCAGCAGGAATCCTTTACAAAGAAAAGTGCAACATCAGGGAACTATCAGTATTCAGAGTTTATCAACAACTAATGAAAAAGAGAGGGGAGTAGCCAGCACCTGATGACCTAGCTGATTACAAGCCCAGATGATGTGCCATCCTTTGGCTGGATACAGAAACCCTAATTCCAGGTCTACAAACATGAAAGCAAGGACCCTAAGGAGCCTGAGAGTGTGAGAGCAGTAAAAGTAGGAGGAATTTCGATGAGTGTCAGGTCCAGCCCCAGTTCTGGACTCAGAGGTTAAGGGATACGCCGGGTTTTGGAGACATGGTGCAGTTCAGCGCTTATGGTCATGCTTATGGCCGGTTTTCAGAGGTGGCAAATGCCAGGCATAGCTCATTGCCAGCCAGCCACGCTGTACACATGCCAGGCACTCAGGCAGGTGACATAAGGGTGCCAGCCCCGCGGGGTGCGGTGAGATAAAGCCCTGCCCTGGCTGAAGAGTGCTGAAGGAAGAGCGCAGAAGTTCAGCTGACAAAACAATGGCTGTTCAGCGATGGGTCTCCAGCCTGCATCAGCCAGCTTTGCTGAGGCGTGCCATAGCAAGTTGCCAAGGGAGCCTATGTGGATGGCAGTAACATGGCTCTACAGCACAGGATGT